GATATATAGAGCTGAGGACGTTACCTAGCTGGGTCCCGAAACGTCTGCAAGAAGACCCCGAACCTCACAACCCACCCAGGAACCCACATTTTGTCTTTTATGCCCCCCCTTGCTGGAGTGAGGGCTCTGTGTATCTCTGCGGTAAGTTCCCCAGAATTGCTCGTCTGCCAAGGTGCCGTTGTGTAACCCCGTTTCAAAGACTACCCGAAAAACACATCCAGAGGACGACAAACGGATTGTCAACGGCACTCCGAGGCTCCCGCTTTTCCCTTTTGTGGCCTTCCCGTCGCCGGTTGTCGGGCCGATCCGGCGTTGACAACCTCCCTGGCTGGCTTGCCAAATTTTGATAGAACCGATCAGATTTATGGAGGTTTTCCCGCACGGCTCTCCAACGTCGGATTTTGATCTTTTCCATCACGACACACACTCACGCACAAAAGAGGCTTAACCGAGTTCAGCCAGCAGCCTTTGCGACGCGGTAGCAGGCATCCCGGCTTGATACGTTTGGCCTAATCCTCTTAGTGGGTCCGTTATGTAATCCTGGGTGGGGGGGGAGGAGGGATTTGAGGATCGTGTAGGCGGAACTTTCCCGGGCCTTCTGCTCAGCGAGCCGAGTTCAGAAGACCCAGATGACCTGAATCCTGGCGTTTCGCACAGGGACGTTGTGGATGTCGGTTGTGGTGGTGCCGAAGAGTGAATAAAATCAGAAGAGGAGTGAGTGGATTCCAGCCAATTTGTTTAAAGGGGAAGCACTGATGATGTTACCTAGTTGGGTCACGAGACGTCTGCAAGGAAACCACCAAGATGAGAGAGCACCAAGGAACCCCCCAGTCCTTCCTCCTCCTTCTCCTCTCCTCCACAAACCCCGCGTCCTTCTAGTACTGATGATGCTACCTAGTTGGGTCATGAAACGTCTGCAAGTAAACCACCCAGCTCAGAGAGCATTCATCTCCCAGAATCCCCCAGCCAGCATGCTTTCAGAGGGGAGGACTTCAACTCCCAGAATCCCCCAGCC